GTCTTTTTAGGTATATCGGGAGTTGAGACATCAGCTGCTGCCCCAAGCTCTCTCTGTCTCTCTCCATCAGTGTCCCCACCCTGCTCTATATGGAGAAGGGGTAAGTGGGGTGCAGGAGCAGGGGAGAGGGGGAAACCCTGACATTAGCCCCCCCCCCTTGCACAGCAAGCAGGAGGCTCCCAAGAGCAGCTCTAAGGCAGAGGACAGGAGCAGCACATGGCAGTGGGCGGAGGGACATCTGAACTGCCCGCAATTGACAGCCGGCTGGGCAGCTGCTGCACAGGGAACCTAGGGGAGTGGGAAGCTGAAACGGGGTCCTGCTGGTCCACCCAGATTCTAAGCCCTCAACAGCTAGCTGCAACAGGCTGCTCTTCCTGCAAGCAGTGGACAGAGCAGGCGGCTGCCAAACGACGTTATAAGGTGTCCTAAGTTTCATCCCCACTCTGGACTTTAGAGTACAGATATGGGGGCCTGCATGTGAACCTCTAAACTGAATTACCAGCTTAGATCTGGTTTTGCTGCCACCACTCCCAAGTGCTAACTCCCTTCCTGGGTACCCTTGAGAGACTTCTTCACCAATTCCCTGGTGAACACCGATCCAAACCCTTGGATCTTAAAACAAGGAGAAATTAACCATTCCCCCTCCTTTCTCCCCACCAATTCCTGGTGAGTCCAGATCCAACCCCCTTGGATCTTAAAACAAGGAAAAATCAAGCAGGTTCTTAAAAAGAAGGCTTTTAATTAAAGAAAAGAAAGGTAAAAGAAAACCCTCTGGGAGAGATTAGCATACCAACTACTCTCACAGACAACAGATTCAAAACACAGAGGATGTTCCCCTGGGCAAAAACTTAGTTACACAAAAAATACCCAATTTGATTATTCCCTAATGCCCAAGACAAGTTACAAAGAAAATAAACATAAACCTATATTTCCTTCACCAATACTCACTACTTGATAAAAGGCTGAATTCTGGAGCTTGCCCACTCCGGTCAAAACTTAAACTGAAACTAAACAAAGGAAACTTCCCTCCTTCCTTTTGAAACATCTTATCCCCCCATTGGTTCCTCTGGTCAGGTGTTAGCTAGACTAGGTGAACTTCTTAACCCTTTACAGGTAAAAGAGGCATTAACCCTTAACTATCTGTTATGACATAAGGCAGCATTGTGTAAGGGGACCGTTGCCCCTTACTAACATTCAGTGGGGGTGTTTTGGTTGGCTAGCTCCCAGCACTAAAAGGGGAGGGGTCGATGGGAAATCAGGACCCTGAGACTGACCGTCCCCAGGAGCAATGGCGAGAGGCCAATGCTCCAGATCAGCCTGATTGACAGGGCGGGCAGGCTAATCAGCATGACAGGAGGCCAGGGTGGGTCCCGTCTTCCATGTGAGTTGGAATTGCCTGGGTCAGACTGAGTGGGGCCGAGCTAAGGAGAAAGCAGGGGCCCAAGCTGAGCTGGAGAGCAGAACCGTGCCAGATCCAGAGGGGCCAGAGGCGCAGCCACAGAGCCAGAGACGCAGCGCAGGGAGAGCAGATCCTGTGCTGGGAGCAGAGCTGCAGCCACAGAGCCAGGTGTGGTGAGCAACTGGGACCAGCCAAAGGGGGACCTCGGGCAAAGGGCCCAGCACAGAAAGACACCCCTAGCCAAGGGCCCTTGCAGGCCAGACCGGGCGGGGGGACCTTAACCTGATGGGGGGCTGACGCTGGGAAGAAGGGTCCCACCACTCAAAGCCCGGAGGTGTGTGGCCACCACCATTGCAAGTGTCCAACCCGCAGCATACCTGCAGCACAGCCAGGGCCTGAGAAGGAAATCTGGGACCTACAAGGAACAGACTGCAAAGTGCCCTGATGTCCAGAGACACTGTTTGTGATGTTCCCTGCTACAAAGCAGGGTGATGTGTTTTCCTTTAACCTTTCCCATTTTTCCTTGTTCTTTTCCTTAGATTAATTGTTAATTAAACAACTTGTATTTGTTTAAATTGTATGGAATAATCAGTGGGTCAGGGAGGTGCCCAGTGCAGAGAAGGTACCCTGGAGTGGGGACACCCTAGCCCCTGTCCTAGGTGACCACAGCAGGGTTGGGGGTTGAGCCCCCCAGGAATCCTGGGCACAGCAATCCTGGGCCCAGCCTGGATGGGGTTACGAGGACTCTGCCAGACAGGAGAGTGGAAGGGGAGCCCTCAAGGGCAGGGAGGCCTCTGGGTAAAGGGAGAGGGAGCGAGGACTCAGATTCTTTCGCTAGCCCACTTCACCGGGGTAGTGCAGAAGCCAGGAATGACGGTCATGGCGTTCTTCCAGGAGGTGGGAGATCGGCCGAATCGCTTGCACAAGTTGAAGATGCTGGAGAGCACGAGGCAGCCAGGGTCTCGCTTCTTTAGGAGGCTGTAGGGGATGCCGTCTTTTCTAGGTGCGGTGTTCTTGGTTCTGGAGAGCCTGGCCGTCACCTCTTTAGGGATGAAGTCGGCCTCCAGATCGTCTGCATTGGTAATGTGGGACAGGGGGAGGAGGCACTCCGGGCGCTGCGCGTCATTCCTGGGCACGCTGCCGAACACGCCGTGGAAGTAGTTGTGGAGGCGCTCGGGCAGGATCGTGCAGTAGGACAGGGGCCTGTCGAGGACCTCTCTTACGGCCTTGAGGCAGTTCATCCGGTACAGCTTCTGGATCCTTGAAGCCACTGGGGGTTGTAGCGGCAGCCGGTGTTCCTCCTTCTAACTCCCCTAGTGTTGGTGTCGCGGTGCGGGCCGGGCCGCCTGGGGGCAGGCTGGATGGTCTCCTGGTTCGGTGTCTTCCTGAAGGCAATCTCCACGGACAGCTCGCAGGTGAGTCTGTCAATGAGCGGGTTGAATTCCGTGAAGGAGGCTGCCACTTGGAGTTCCTCAATCCAGGCGGCCTGCCAAGGCGTGGCTGGCCTAGCCGTCGGCCGCTGGTCCTCAGGCTCCTCGGTCGGCGTGGCCAGTGAATTTGTTGCGTGGTCGATGGGTTGTCTTGCTTGTGGTTCGGGGGACTTTTCGATTGGTTCCTGGGGCATATTCGCCGGTGGGGCAATATCATTGCTGGTTGTTGGTGGAATCTGGATCGGGTCAATGAGTGCGGGGGTGATGCTAGGTCTTCCATGTGCAGCTGTTGTCTGGGGGGGGTTGCTGTGGAAGCGTGCGACCTTCTGGCGGCAGGGATCGGTCTGGTGGCTTTTGGGGCCGTACCGGTCCATCTGACAATGGGGGTCTGGTGTTGCGGTCTGGTTGTGGCATTGACTCCTCTGACAGTGGGAGTTTGCAGAGCAATCTGGGGGGTGGATCCCGTACCCTCGGCGGGTGGGGTTCGCGGTCCAGGCTGAGGAGTCGCGTTGGCTCTTCCTGTGGTTGGTGCTCGTAGGGTAGCCTGAGGGCCGGCGTCGGTTCCGCCGGAGGCAGGATTTCGGGTGGCCATGCGTGGCGGGGTGCTGACCCTTCTTGGGATGGGGTCGCGCTGGTTGGGCGTCGGGAGGGCACTGAGACGCCTCAGCTCAGACTGCTTCCGGGCGACCTGGGAGGATGTGATGGGTCTCCTGCTGGCAGGGGCTCGGTCGACGTCTCCCGCTGCGGGAGGCGTCGTCTCAGTGGTGGGGCCCTGGCCCATCGGTTCGGGGACTGGAGTGAGTCTCTGGGCAGCGGCTGGCAGGGGCGCCCTGTTTCCTTGCAGCACAGGAGCAGTGGGCCGGGGCACATGAGGCGGGGGGGGGAGGACCGGAACCGGGGTCGCTGCTGTGCAGTCTTTCTTGCAGCTGGCCTGGTGTGCCTTGCATCTCTTCTGGGACTCGAAGGGCAGGCTGCAGCAGGCGCAGCTGAAGGCGGTGGATTTGTTATGGCACGTCTTCAGGTGCCTGGTGACTCCTCCGAGGAGATGGAAACGTCGGGGCGGCAAGCAGATGGGGCAGATGAGCGCATCAGCGGCAAGGGGGTATTTCAGGTAGATGGTGTCGTCATCCGTCCCCTGTGGAGCAGGGGTACCAGCGGTACCC